ACAAATTCCTGGTGCTTACAATAGTATCTAGCACATAGCTGGCACTCAGTAAATATTTGTGGATGCATTCATGTGTCAGTAGTATTACCATACAATCCAGTCAGTTTTCAGTGAATGTATTTGTTGTTCCATGAGATTCTCAAGACAGGAATTTAGATTGTTTGCTCTTATACCAAGTTCTAACTGTAGAAGTGTATTTATAAACCATTAAGCTATTTTTTCAAAGACATATGAACCAATATTCTCCCCTGACCTCTACCTAATGGAGTAAGGGATGGAGTATTTATTTCTCTATTGTCCTGACTCTGGGAGAGCCTGAGCTGGTTTTGTTCAGTCCCATCCATAGCACCATCGCTCCTCCAGTTTGTCTAGATGCTCATCTTCCACCTTACAGCCATGAAAGTCTCAGAAAAGGACTGGGTGAGCTGGAAGACCTCAGGGCTGAAACATGCCTTTCCTTCTGTTGGACGCCCTTGATGGACAAGCTCAGTGCCATGGGAGACAAGTCCTCACCAGAGGCCAATGAGGATGACTTCCAGAGAATAGCTTTTCTGTGTTGATCTACTAATTGTTCTTTCTTTTAGCTGGGCCAAGACCTACTTTCTACAAGATATCAGTTCTGTCTTCCAGAATACCATTAAGCAAGTCAATCCCTGTTCTCACGACAACACTTTGGATATTTGAAGATAGCAATGTTTCCTACAAAGCCTTCACTGCTCACAATATGCACCTAGTCTCTTCATTTCTTCCTCAAATGACATGGATTCTAATCTTGCTATTCAGGCTCCTCCTCTTCTCCCAGTCTGTCCATAAAATTCATAAATATTCCTTTCAAAATATGACCCCTATATTCTTCAAGTAACCAGCAAGAGACATAGAAATTCCTATATGCCCTCCTAGGAGCATATATTTCTGTTTATACTATGCCCAGCACTCCAAACATGTCCATTAACATCCTCAAATCTTTTCCTATAAAAGTCCTGTTAGATCATATTCCCTTTATCCTATATACTTAGTGCTCGCTTTAGCAGCACATATACTATACACATATTATAGATTTTTTTAATCCTAGAAGTATGACTTTAACTTAGTATGAATAAATGAAATTTTGTTAGTATTGACTTTTCTTTAAAAAAAAAGATTTATTTTATTTTATTTTTTTAATTTTAATTTTTATTTTTTTAAAGATTTTATTTATTTATTCATGATAGTCACACAGAGAGAGACAGAGAGGCAGAGACACAAGCAGAGGGAGAAGCAAGCTCCATGCAGGGAACCCGACGTGGGATTCGATCCCGGGTCTCCAGGATCGCGCCCTGGGCCAAAGGCAGGCGCCAAACCGCTGCGCCACCCAGGGATCCCAAAAAGATTTATTTTTAAAAAAGATTTATTTATTTATTTGAGAGAGAGAGAGAGACCATGCAAGTGCAAAGGGGCAGAGGGAGAGGGAGAGAGAAAATCATAAGCAGACTCTGCTGAGTGTTGGGCCTGATGTGGGGCTCGATCTCATGACCCTGAGATCATAACCTGAGCCAAAATCAAGAGTTGGATGCTTAACCAATTGAGTCACCCAGGTGCTCATTTTGACTTCTGATTGCCAACTATCACAATACCATCCTTCTAAATTTTGTGGCAAATAAAATTTAGCACAAGTCACTCTGAACCCATTGATGTGAAGAGCAAACAATCTCTGAGGTCCAGGGGTCAGTAACCTCAGAAGGTGAAACCTTCGTTATCCACAAGAGTTGAGGAACAGAGGATTTTGTCATAAGCCATTGGCCACTGACCCTGCAGATAGGGTTGAGGTGCTACTCCTGCTTCATCCTGTGTGTGGTCAATGGGAATGCATGTGGCAGGAGAGATGAAAGGCAGGAAATGTGCAGAGCTGATGTCTATGCCTACTTAGCCAGTTAAGGAGAGCTCCACCATCAAGGAGGAGCTCTTTTCACAAGGGTCCTTCAAAAGCAGTTTGTGTGCTAAAGCCTCTAAGTTACCTGGCGTTAAGGTCAAGGGCCAAACAGAGTATTACTCTCTGAGCCAGAATAATGCTTTCTGTCTACTCATGAAGTCCTCTATCTTAGCTACAAACACCAGGCAGGAAGCCCCTGGAAATTCCATGGAATGGGTCAGGGGGTCTTTTAGGCAGTGCCCCCCACTGGGGTGCAGGCTTAGGCACAAAGGGTTGGGCCTCTTGAGGTCATGGTGCCATCTTCCTCCAGCAGTTAGAAAACCTGCTGCTGAAGGTCCCCAGACACATCTCCCCATCCTTCTTTCCAGATGACCTCTAGCACCAATTCTAATCCTTCTGCCCTCCTCTCAGCCCTCACTTTGCCCTTGTGTGCTTTGGAATCCAAATCAATAGCTTATTGTAAAATCAATTAAAAGCAAATCATCCTCATCAGTCCCAATCACCAAACAAGATTAAATTGGCTGACATTTTTTTTTAGACCAAGATTCATTAAAATTTTGATGGCAGTATTTCTGCTGGTGGAGTTGTTTTTATTTTCTTCTTTTTTGCTAATCTACATTTTGACCAGGAGAAAGGTAGAACAAAAAAGGTTACAGTTAATAGGCAACATAGAGTAATAGGACGTTCTGATTTAAATTTGATTACGTCTTTTTTTTTAAACTTTACTCCTAATTTGTGTACAAAATTTGTCTCACAAGGAATCCAGAAATAATAGTATTGGAGAAATGTTAAGACAGCAATCTGAAAACATACTGGCTCTTGGACTTCAAACCCAGCTTTAGGAGAATCTAAAGGGGAAGAGCTACTTCTCGATTCTGCTAAAAGTAGAATGTCCTTTCTACTCTTCAAAAGCAGCCATGGTGTACAACTACTGTTGGGAAAAAAGACCAACACTCATTTGTACTGAAATGCAGCAACTCATTTCAGCTTTTAAGCCACTTTTTTTTTTTAAACTTTGTACTCTCTCTTTTAAGACAATCTCAGAATTTTAAAATGCTGAATGAAAGAAACTACTGATATCACATCACAGAATCAAAACCTAAGTACAGAGACTAATGCAAATTTCAAGACACGGATATAAGCATCCACGACCCAGCCATTCTAAAATACGTTTACAATATGTTTTCCAGATATGTTCTTTTTTATGCTTCTGTAATGCTATCCTTTGGCACGAGTACAACAAAAAATAGTTTAACTACACAAATGTGGGTTACCTGGACTTGTGGCTGTAATTTTTCAAGTCCTTAGCACTGGAGAAGTCAAGCATACACCAGTCTCATTTATTCCTCAGAGGGCTACAGCAAGGAATGTTCAGGAGATCTTTAAAGGAAAGAGGTTACTAAACAAATAGTGCATGGTCCAACAATAAAAACATTTCATTAATGTGATTATCTAATTCAGACACTGGACCAAAGGCTCTTTGTATTGCTATTGTTTTTTTTTCTTTTTACTGTAAGCTGTAATTGGCAGGTGCAATGGGGAAGGGGAGACAGAGGGAGAAGAAATGCCAATTATGGTTTAAATTCATATTCATGTCAACTCCATGTTCAGGCTCTGGGCATGGAACCAGCCTGATCTTTCTTTTAGCTAAGACTTAGCTACTTCTAGTAACTCCCTGTTCTTCTATGGTTTTGAATCTATTTACATGCAAAACATATAAAATCTCTTAGGAGAACCAGTTATGCCAGTTAGTCTACACTGTATTTTGCTTGCCCTTTTAAATCTAAAGCTATGTTTATTAAAATATAAGGACATATTAATTAAAATGGCCAGCTAGGTTGAAAATACTGGAGTATCTGGTCATTGTGTGTGCACAGGTTTTAAAATTCCTTTACTTTTCCTTCAAGGATTAGTATTTGGTTTTGTCATTTAAGACATATTTTCTTTTTTTAATTTTTATTTATTTATGATAGAGAGAGAGAGAGAGAGAGAGAGGCAGAGACATAGGCAGAGGGAGAAGCAGGCTCCATGCACCGGGAGCCCGACGTGGGATTCGATCCCGGGTCTCCAGGATCATGCCCTGGGCCAAAGGCAGGCGCTAAACCACTGCGCCACCCAGGGATCCCTAAGACATATTTTCTTTAAGGTCTCTTTGATAGTGGTCTATTATTTTCTGGTTTTTAGGTCCAAACTCTCCTTTTTGTTTGATCCTTTGACTTCTCCTTCATGGAGGTTTATTTTCTGCCAAGACTTACAGTTGTTAACTATGGTTCCAACTTCAACAGGAGCTGGCTACTCTGAGAAGCCTGGCAGATGCTGGGTGGTGGGTGCCCACAGCAGGCTCACATTAGTTTCTGCACAGGGTCTGGTGGCCTCATCTGTACCAAACTTACTCTAGAAATTTAAAAATAATTTTAGATTTAGAGAAAAACTAAAAATAGAGTGCTTCTGCATATCATTTATATAGCATCCCCTGAGAGAAGTCTTAGTAATCACAGTAAAATTAGCAAAACCAACAAATTAATTTTCGCACAATACCGCTAACTACCCTATGGACTTTATTTGGGTTTCACTACTTTCTCCTCTAATGTCATTTGTTATTGTTCTTGCTGTTCCAGGATCCTATCCATGTTTCCACATTTCATGTCATTGTTATGTTCCACATTTTGTTCCTTTTGCTTTTCTCAGTTTCAAGGCCTTATTGTCTTGGGTTTCATAAACAACTCCAGGTTTACCCTATTACCTTTCAAGACTGTGCAGACTTTGATCCTCTCCTTTCTCTTTCTAGATTGTAGAGTCTAATCCTTTAATTCCAAAATGAATATGCTCTGACTTGGAAGCATCAATTTGATTAATGGGTGGCAGAAAAGCAAAACACGGTGGGCAGAAGGGGTGGCACCAGCCAAGGTAGGAGTGAACACTTCCGCAAATTCCACAAGCGGACTTGACTCTTTTTGACTTAAACCCTTGGAAAATGAAAGTCCCGGGTGTTCTCACGAGGGACACAACAATTAGATATCTTTCAACCATCACACTTTACGAATGAGAAAACAATCATGTTACAAAGGAAATAAAGAGAGGTCTTTGGACACCAATTCATAGCATTTATTGACATTTCCATTTAAAATGCTAGGAAAGCAGTATAAATTGTAAACATGGAAACCAAACACTTGCATAAATTATTTCAAAAACTCTACAGCACATTAGAAAACAGGGCAGCTAATTGAAGGGTAGAAACATAACCAACAAATAGAAAGGAGGGTTCGATTACTAAATCATATACCCACACTGAAATTTAAGTGCCCATTTGAGACCAGCAAACCATGATTGTCAAATTCAAGTTGCAGTACTGATGCCACGAGTGGCCTCAATTTAGTCTGCATATTTTCGTACATTAGCACTCACAATTCAGGAATGAGAATGCAGGAAGAGTCAGAAGAACATGGACCTTGACCAAGTAGGAGACAAGTAGGCATCCTGGAGCAGCTCTGCCGAGCCACCTTTCCTGCAAGGGCAATGGGCCCAATCTCCATGCTCCCTCGAAGATGCTCTGGAGGAAGGCCAAGATGAGATCTTACCCCTCCTTCTCAAATGAGCCCTCTGGTGTTTAGAGCAAGTGCATTAATCAGTGGAGCCTCCTCTCCTTCTTTCCCCACATGAACAAGAGGAATAGTACTGGGTGTCTGCCTTAAACTTGGCCCTGTACTATTCCTAACTTGCATACTTAGGGAGTCAAGCCATGAATGCTTGAAACAGGGGCATGAGACCCTTCATGATACTCCAAGATGTCCAGAAAGGTTTTGTGGAATTAGGGACCAAGCGATTCATTTCAATTTTTATCTCTGTCCCTTCTACCATTCACTCTTTCTTGAAATGTGAAGTGGCCCCAGAGCATTAAAACCTGGAAGAAGGATAAGCAAGGAGCCTGCATAACTACCCTGTGGGAAACTAATTTGGACTAGACCACCTCAGATTGAGAAATTCATTCCTTCTCTCACTTGTTCGCTGGTTCCTAACTTTGTTTCATGTTTCCAAGGCATTTAATATTCTTGTCCTAAATTTCAATGCTGCTGCGTGTTAAGATAAATTCCCAAATGTACTGTTAACACACACAAGCATGGAAATAGGATCGTACCATGAGGTTTCAGTTTTCAAGTCTTTTTAATACTAGAGAGAGGAGTCCTAAACACTCAAAAGTCACCTCCAAGAATATCAAAAGAAACCTAAAACATACACACTCCTTATTCATTAGGTAGTAAGTGTGAGCCTATTACATTTTATGAGTATATTACAGCAGTTGCTCTTAGGAACCCCTCTCACCTGTTATAAGAATATCCATTAATGTGTTGGATTAAATGTAAAAACAAAGTTCAAGTTACCATTCCATAAAAATGTGTTTTGTGATTAAATGGTCAGTGTGCAGGTACAGAAGTGGACTCCCTCGCGCTCCTGTCGGAGACAAATGTGGATAAGCAGGCTCTGGAGACTGGCTTTGGAGGTAGAAATGGAATGGCTAAAGCTCACCTCGAGCTGAAGTTAGTATGGTAGTTAAGACTGGAGCCCCTCTTCTCGCCTGCCCAGAACCTTAACCAGTTTTCCTTTCAACCAGCAAATTCATTCATGTCTAAGAATCTAGTATGAAAAGGGAAAGAGACGTTAATGATTAACATGGATTACTGCAAATGCAAATCAGTGTCCAAGTGACTGGGTTGCCACTGGAGCATGAAGAAGTACAATGCAGTAAACACTGACCCTGTACACAGTTAAATGGGAGGCTCATAAAAGCACAAAATTACCTGTTTTGGCCCAAAGCCTTCAGGTGCACCTTCACCTGTGCTTTGCATCACAGGCCTCATGTCCTGAAAAATCTGGTTGGCAAAACCCGCTCAGTCTGCTGCTCAAAAGCCATGTCCCCCCAAAGTCAAAACATATTCTAAAGTTAAATAAAATTTGGAGAAAACTGTATAGACAGCTACAAAGAAGTGGAACATGTTTATTTATAACCTACTATGCTCCACAAAGGATTTAATGTGTTTGAATGGCTGACCACAGAGAGCTGCCCTACACAATAAAACCTTGGTGGAATTCTTACAATATTTTCATACTTTACAATTGATCCTCCAGCAGTTCTTGGTATCCTGCTCTTCCCTCCTTCAGACTGGATCTCTTGCTGTGCAGACTTTCTTCACAAACTCTTGCCGTATTAATGGGAACACATCCTCACAGCTCCTTTTCCTCCTCTTGCACTCCCTAAATAGTGCAGTTTGGGATTCTTTTTCCATATTGCACTGGATCAAGTTCATTTTCAAGGACAGCTTTGCCCACTTTTCCATCCTTACCTAGACTCACCCCCAGCTCTTCCTTTGCCATCTCACCAGCTTACCCGTCTTCATTATAGTAGCTTCTGAAGTGGGCTTCTCCCCAGGAGCCCATGGTTTCCAAATGTGCAACTTCCCTTCTTCTGAGTACCCAATGCACCTGTGTATTTTCAGTAAATCTTTTTTTTTTTCAGTAAATCTTATTGATGTTCACACCATATTATGTATCTGTAGCTTCTGTCTTTTATACCCAGCCGTGCTGTCTTAGATTCTAAGCTCTAGAAGACAGGGCTCATGTTGACTTTTTGGTGCTAGAAACGGCAAAAAGTCAGGTGCAGAAAGATGTTTGATAAATGCTGTTTTAAAGTTAAGGATGAAGAATGTGAATTTCAAGCAAATTGGGAAAGAGGGAGGAGTCACATGGAACCCTTAATTTTGCTCTGGTTACCTCCATGCAAAGTCACTGGTGGATCACAGCATAGACTAATTCCAGTGCAATCATACAGATAACATTTTACATTTCACCAAGCTTTGCGCACCCTCCTCAAGGGTTGTTTGCTCATAAGATCACATCTGAATCTTGAAAGAAGAAATTCTGGGAGGTAGACAAAGAGAGTCTCTGTCCTCATTTGGCTGATGGGGAGAAACATGTTCAGGAAGGTACCTGACGTAGCAAGCTAGTGACAAAGCAGACTCTGAAAACGATCTCTAACCTTCTCTGAAATTCTGACTCAACTTTATAATCTGCATTATTACCACCAACTTTTAAACTAGGAAAAGAGAATACACACAAAACTTTTCACTTTAGGGTGCTTCAGTTAATGGAACTCCAAAGCCATACATGATCAACATGAGGACCTTTCTTTTAAATAGATCACGTTAACTGAGTGTTCAAAGACCCATCTGGGTGTGGTGCTCCCCATGACAGTTAGTCTCTCCCGAGTTTGGTGACAGGTAAAACTGCTGCAGGTATTTAGAGAAAACAAGTGCAGAGTGTGCTTTATAATCAACACAAGAGTGCTGGTGATCCCATGAGCCTGCTCACACCACACCACACACCACTGGTTATCATATGCTATCTTTGGTCATGACATTCGTTGAAAAGTCTATCAATTCTAAGCTTAGCAATACAGGTTGAACCCTTTCATGCTAGTCTGAAAGGCATCAAAATCACTACCACAGCCCTCTGGAAAAGAGATGCCCATTTCTGCAATGTATAGAGGAAGTAACCATTCTTAGTACACAGTGTGCAAAACATGAGACTGAGCAGAATGGGAGGAGGGACCTGCATTTATTCCACTTGCTGTCACAAGATCTAAATTCACTGTAAGGTGTCCACAATGAGATTCTGCTTGGGTATCTGAAATTCTTAACATATTCAGGAAACCTGGTATTTTTGAGTGACATGCAAAGATAATCCTCCACTTTGGGGAGAGCCTGATATTAAACCAAGACCAAGAGATAAATCAAGTTCAGAAAGTGGTCTTATCTCCCACAGTCCTTGGAGCCTGCGAGGACTGCCTGAAAAGGGATTTCCATTCCTTTCACATCCATGAAAGACTTACTCTCCTGCATCCCTCCCCTCTTTCAGAGGGCACAGATAAAAAGAGGCTACATTTAACTGCCCAGAACCAACACTGCCTGTAACAGAAGACTGACAGGCTTCATTGAAGAAGTGCTAAAACATGATTCTGGTCCCCAACAATTACCCTATGGAAACCTATTTTAGCTGTTACGGGGTTCTTAGAATTCAATACAGATTTTGATTTGTCAGAGCCCTGAATTGTTAATTAAAAGTATTAGTGGGCCTAACAAGAAAGGATTCATAGTAGAAACCCCATTATCTGTTTTTCTTCTGAGCTTCACTAGGTATCATAAAACAGAAAGGCCCTTGTTATTATATTCTTTAACTTGGGAAGTAAGGAAATGCTGACTTCAGGAGTGAATCTCAAGACAAGATGATACCCTCTGTCAGGCCCCAAGTGCATAAGATGGTTTTAAGAGTCACCCAGTGGTCATGCACAATAAAATCAGAAATCAGAAGCAACTCTCTCCTTTCCCTTGTGGTCCTCAAAGCTCTTCTTTACATTTCTTGATGTATTACAGGGGCTGGACTGAACTCTTTTTCATTTTCAGGTCTTGAACACAGAGAAGGTGATTATTAGAAATGTACTCATGAATAACAATTTGTTGGCCCTGGTGGTTTTTATAAATAACTTTTGCTCATGTAAGATTTCTCATTCAAACATAATTTTTGAGCAACTCATCAGCCAAGTGCAAGGCTTAGTAAAGACCTCCTGAAAGCCTCCTTCTATAGGACTGATCTTAATAATGGCATGCACTGAAATGGGATGCTGTCTGCAGTTGCATGCGCCCAATTAATAACAGCAAATACAATTAAGAATGTAAATCTAAACTCCAATATGTATTTTTTAATAACCAAATAAATATTAAGCTTTCCCCTGGAGCCCCCCATTTGGGAGGTTCGTTCATTTGTTCTTTCTTTTTCCTTCCTTCCTTCCTTCCTTCCTTCCTTCCTTCCTTCCTTCCTTCCTTTCTTTCTTTCTTTCTTTCTTTCTTTCTTTCTTTCTTTCTTTCTTTCTTTCTTTCTTTCTTTCTTTCTTTCTTTCTACGACAAAATGAAATCTTCAACATATTCTTCCATTGAAAAAGCCAAAGTTGCATTTCACAGACATAAAGGTGAAGGGGCCCTCGGAGCTATAGCACCAGAAGTAGAAGGAAAAAATGCAGATGATGGCTTCTTTTGGAATCATCAGGCTCTACAATCTATCATTTGGTTTCTCACTAGTAGCTTTTTAAAATTCCCAGTCTTAGTATTTTTGTTGTTAATGTGACTATTAAAATAAGTTCCTATGGAGAAAAAGAGGGAAATCAAGCCGTTAATAAAATGTCTTCAAATCTCTTTTCTCAGAAAACAAAGCAGCAAGTTCATCATACAAACCAGGCTGAAACACATCTTCCCACAGAAATGCTGGATTCCATTAATCCCTATGCCATCTACACATTTCCATCTTTTACCTTTAAAAAGGAGACTAATTTAGTGATTTTTGTTAGTTTCGGTTTGTGGTTTGCCTTCACGAAGTGCTGCTGGCTTTTGGCCAAAAGTACATAAATTTCGACAGAAACCCAAGTGGTCAAAAAACTGCCAACTTATTGAAAGCATCATGACCTGTCACATGACTATGGCATCCTCTAAAATTGCACCTTGCTCCCTCACATGGGCACCTAGCCCAGGAGATGTGCGTTCTCTTACAAACACCCACTTGGTTGATTTCCATTTAGTCTTGCTTCCACAGGAAGCAGATACTTGGCAAATTTGCAAGGTGAGGCCGATCAGCTGTGGAAGTTCTGCACGGCGGTCTGTTTCTGGGAAAGCCGGAGCAGCTCCTCTCGGATTGCTTTGATGAGTGAAGCCGAAGAGTGGCCGGGTTGGAGGTCTTCTGTGGAGCTGGTGGTGTAAGTCAGCCCCGCACCGGGCAGCCCCCTGTGCGGGAGGTTTCCGGGAGGAGCAGAGGGCTCCCTGCCTGAAGTCCTTGGCACCTGGAACAGCGGTGAAGAATACTCTTGATGTCCAAGCACATGTGTCTGAAAAACCATGGAAAACGTTACTGTACTTCCCACGTAAGAACAGGAGGGAAAACCCATTCAAACTGGTGGTGGGCACCATCTCAGGACTACTTCTGCCCACCCCCCACTGAACTGGACCCGCCAATGAGGCCCCCAGGATGGAATATAGAAACCGTGGAAGAAAAAAAAAAAAAAAAAGAAAGAAACCGTGGAAGAACTGTGGGAGCGAGAGCAATATAGTAAAGACACCCTGGACTTAACAGGTCCTAATAAATACTTGCTTTAAGGCAGAAAGAAAGAATGATGAGGTTGGCCAATTCTCTGTGCCTATGTGTGTGGAAGTAAGTGGCCCACTGGGAGAAGAGGAAGGGACCTGGAGCGTTGGGGTGCCCTGTGGAGGGGACAGGTCAAATGATGGTATCTGAGAGCTGGAAGAGATGAGCAGACAGACAAGAACTGCTTCTGCTCTGGGGCTCAAGCCCTGGGAGGCTGTGCAGGCAACACACATGGGACCCAAAGAACATCAACAATGTCACAAAATCATTCTCCATTTTATTTATCTGGGCATCTACTGACTGTTATGCAAAGCCTTTTATCTCCACTGGAACATATAATAGTTTTGCTTATATTTGCCTAATATAAGTTAATTGGGCATCCATTTGACCAGAATTATTGTACTTTTCAATGGTTTTTTCCCTATCTTTTCAGTGAAAAAAAAAAATCTCTCTTTAAATACATGCATGAGTACTAAATCCGTGGTTTCACTTATGCTAAAAGTAAGCCTCATGGTAAACATAGCATTCAAGCCCTAGAATATTTCTACATTTCATGCTTCCAAATAGTGATAAAGAGGCAGTGTGAACACCGGATTTAATAGGAAAACCCAAAACACCTCATGAAAATAAGTTGGGCACGATGAAGGCAGAAAAAGGTCAACAAGTATAAAGCAGATACCTGAAATCCTAAGTATAAAAATGTATCTATTAGAGGAAAATTATATTCTAAAGTTAATTTTCTTTCACTGAGTAGTAGAAGCCTCCGGTCATGAAAAGAATTTAGTGTTTCTGCTGGAAAAACATGTAAATGCATATAAAATTCTTGAGAAAAACAAAGAAAAGTATTTGTGGAAATGACCTGTGCCCATACTGATTCTGTTCCTATAAAAGAGTGATCAAAGTAATGAGAAGATACTAAGAGAAACTCTGTGCCTTGGAACCCAAACTGTGAGCTTGTGGCAGAAGCACCTTGTGGGGGTCATAACATAAATAACGTGGATAAACCCACAACAAAGCATAAACAGTGTGCGAGTAGGTATGTAAGCTCATGCATATTTACACAGCAATAATGCCAAAGATCAAGTCCAGATTTTAGTCACCTACAGGTTCAAATTCACTACTTGAAAGTCAAAATCATGGAGCCAGAAAGAAGAACAAAGTTGCCTGGTTCTGGGGGGAAGGGCACGTGGCACTTAGTGTTTAACTAGCACAGACTTTCCATTTTACAAGATGAAAAATACTAGGGAGATGGAAGGTGGGGATGGTTGCATAACATCATGAATGTATTTAAAACCACTGAACTGTTTACTTAAAAATGGTTAACATGGGGGATCCCCGGGTGGTGCAGTGGTTTGGCGCCTGCCTTTGGCCCAGGGCGCGATCCTGGAGACCCGGGATCGAATCCCACGTCAGGCTCCCGGTGCATGGAGCCTGCTTCTCCCTCTGCCTATGTCTCTGCCTCTCTCTCTCTCTCCCTGTGTGACTATCATAAATAAATAACAATTTAAAAAAAAAAGTTAAAAAATTGTTAACATGGCAAATATTATGTGTGTTTTATCACAATATAAAAAAAACTGGAAAAAATTTTAAAGTAGCTGTTACTTAGAGGTCTCTGTCCAGATTTTCTGTAATGAGTATCACTTTTAGTATTTTTTTAAAAGGTTATTTCCAAAAAAATCACTACTTTAAGCCCGAAATCTGCCTCAGGAAAAATTATACACTTTCCAAAAGTTCAGTGCAATTATTCTACCACTCCAGGTGGATGGGAATTTACTATCTGAAAACTGCAAGCAAAAATACATTCACGGAGAAAAAAGTGAGAGAGGTTAGAACTTTTACTTATGTAGGCTTTAAAAAGCGGTCCTCAAAGCAGAAGCAGTTGAATTAAGTGATTATATCTGAATTTTCAGTGATGACCCAAACACAAGATACTTACAGATTCTCTACGGCCAGCTTCATCATCCCCATATGAAGTCCAGCCAGGTCCTCCATACTGGCCACCTCTGGTTGGTGGGATTTCCGCTGGTTGGGCTCCAATTCTGCTTGCAATTCCCACCTGTGTCAGATGCTGAATCTGGGAACCTGAAGGAACATAGTGGGGCAGCCTGGTCAACACTTGCAAGGAAGTGAGGCTACCTGGCAAGACACTTTGGTTCTTCTTCTTCTTCTTCTTCTTTTTTTTTAAGATTTATTTATTTATTGAGACAGATAGTAGAAGGAGAGGGAAAAAGAATCTCAAGCAGGCTCCATGCCCAGCAATCCTGAGATCATGACCTGAGCCAAAACCAAAAGTCAGATGCTTAACAGATCGAGCCATCCAGGCACCCAAGACACTTCGGTTCTGACCACAGTTCTCCCTTAGGGGCAAGGGATATAAGCACTGTTCAAATATGGCACCAATTCTATCTCCAGAGAATGTCATTTCCTATGAGAAACAGACCTTGGGCTTCTTGGTTCATGGGCTTTTATTTCCACTTAATACAGTGGCTAACAGTGATGTTCTGATTTTCCTGGCTAGACATCAAAGGATGGGGAATAAAGGCTATAATAGAGGGCCCTTCCATTCATTTCTATACTATGAATGGATCCATGTAAGGATGATCTTACTTACTGGGGAGAAAGGAGAGAAAGGTTTTGGAGGTGTAAAGAAGGTAAAACCTGGCTCCTTCTTGCTCTGGCTTTGAGACTTAGAAGGAGAGAAAATACAATATGCATTTTTTTAAAAAAAAAGGTATGTGGCATAAATCAAAGAAATATTTCAGAATGTGTAAGTCCATTTATTTTTAACTACATTTTTCCATAATTTAGCTATGTCGTTATTAAAACTTTAAGCCACCCACCCACAGCTTCCTCAGTGAGGTATACTGATGGCAAAGCCAGGAATCTCTCTCAAGCTCATTCTCCACACTTGGACACACTATAGCATTGGATAGCTATGAAGGCTGGGGTATAAATGACATATTTTCCTCCTCTATCAACTTTTGGTATATATCCATATATATATATGGTATATATGGTATATATCCATATCCCTATTCCATAGATTAAGGGAGAAAAAAGTGATCTTTAAGCACTGTGAAATAAAATACTTGTTTCCAAAAGGGCCGAGAATCATCAAATTCACCTGTGCTGTTTAGACCAGTCCTACAAGGTTCAAAGATTTCACAGAGGTAGGAAAGGTAGCCCTCTCCATCTTCCAATCCTCTCCTACTCAACTTGTCAAATTAATAGCCTCCATTAACCAAATACATTTAAAAAAATAAGGAATACTACAGTTTTATTTGGATATCTAAAAACTAAAGGTCAGAAAAAACCTGCCAGGTTCCTATCAGAGCAATACACTATGCAGAAGCTCTTGACAGTTACTGAAGTTTTATAATAGTCATTAAAATTATTGGGACCATCAGTACTCTTTGCTCAATATACATTGTTTGAGCAAATCCTGCAAAGAATAAAAATGCAGCACACTGTTCCCCAGCTTTTACCAAGGTGCAAACAAGTGCATAGACAGAAAAGCATACCACAGTGTTAAAACTACTGTGGTAGTTGGAATCATAATTCAGACACAATTCGGCACCTTGCTTTGTTTACATAATGATAGAACACAGGCTTTCTCCCTGATTTCAGATGGGGCATCACACCCAGGAAACATGGGTTTGCACTCCAGCCCTGCCATTGTGACCTTGGGCAGTCGGCTACAACTCCCACCGAGCCTTGATGCCTCAATTCTCAAATGGGGATAAAAAATCAACTCCATGATGTTATTTCAAGAATTGAAAGAGATAAAATAGGTCAAGTACCATAAAAGGAAGAGGCAATTGGTAAATCCTAAATCCTCTTTTTCTGATTCTTTCTGAGCTCTTCATTTTATTATTTTTAAAAGATTTTATTTATTTATTCATGAGAGACACAGAGAGAGGCAGAGACACAGGCAGAGGGAAAAGCAGGCTCCCTGCAGGGAGCCCGATGCAGGACTCGATCCCATGACCCCAGGATCACGACCTGAGCCAAAGGCAGACACTCAACCACTGAGCTACCCAGGTGTCCCTGAGCTCTTCATTTTAAATAGCTGGACAATTGGGGCCTTCCAGAGAAGAGGGTGAAGTAGGACCTTAAGTTCACTCCATCCCACAGATACAGCTAGATAACACCCACATTAGTGTAAATAACTAGGAAATGACCTGAAGATTGGCAGAACAGACTCTCCATAGCTAAACACAGAGAAGAAGTCACATGAGAAAGGGCAGGAAGGGCAGAGACATGGTCAAGAACAAAACACATCTTCCAGACAGCCCTCAAGAGGGAAGGTCACTGCCAGCATAGAGAAGGGAGAGGAGGAGACCCCACCCCAGACATCCCAGGCATAGAAGACCTGCACTGGGAAAACAAATCCCCCATCATTTGGCTTTGAAACTAGAGGGGCTCAACTTCATGAATTCTTATAAAGAGTGGGGTTTAACAGCTAGAACTTTGAAAATGAATAGGCTTAACTCTGGAAGCCAGAGGGTGAGAAGAAACTGAGTTCCCACTTGAGACAGTATAGAAGCATCAGTTTGAAAAATTCCTGGGTACAGAGATGTCATTTCCCTGCCCAGCACCCCCAGCCTACGTATAGGTGACACCTGCAGGAACCAGCGCAGCACAAATACTCTCCACCTAGTTTGCTATAAGTGCACTCTGCCCCCACACACTCCTGTGGACCCAGCCCCTCCAACCTGCCCTCAGCATATCTCCAAAGAAGCTCCAGGTTCCTCCCAGGGCAGAACTGAGAGGCCCTGCTAACAAGGGGCACCCTGTTCCTCCATTCTTCTGTAGACAGGCTCCCTCCACCCTCGGCAGGATCCATCCAAAGAACTGTCATAAGCATGACAGAGTGCAAGCAGCCATGACGGGGGTCAGCACCACTCAAAAAGTGATTCCTGTGCTGAGGTAAGAGGAAGGTAACCACACACACCCATCCAACTGGGGGCTCCAACAGTGGACTGGGGGCAAACATCTGGTGTGACTACAAGCCCTGCCAATCAATGAAAGGTTCTCAGGCGACAACAAAGGGAAAGTACCCTGCAGTTCAGTGCTACTGTATCTCTGGCAAACACCTGGTCTGACTCAAAACAAGCCCAACATGACCCCAGAGTGGCCCACTAACAACAAGGGACCAAACCCTGCCCACAACAGGCAAATAGAGCCATCACAGACAACTGTACAGCCACAATAGTAGGTTGCATGCAACACACACAGGAGATATCACTTAAGCACCAGGTTCTGGTGAACAGGGACATTGCACTGCAGAACACTATAGGACCTTTTCTTCATAAGGTCAAGAGCAGGAGATATGGCTGACTTTCCTAACACACAGAAACAGACACAGAGACTTACAAAATAAAGAGACAGAGAAATATGTCCCAAATGAAAGAAAGGGAATGAAAAAAAGAATAATGAGGGCAGCCCCGGTGGCGCAGCGGTTTAGTGCCGCCTGCAGCCCAGGGTGTGATCCTGGAGACCCTGGATCGAGTACCACATCAGGCCCTTTGCATGGAGCCTGCTTCTACCTCTGCCTGTGTCTCTGCCTCTCATTCTCTCTCTGTGTCTCTATGAATAAATAAATAAATAATATTTAAAAAAAAAGAATAATGAAAAATGAGATAGATTAAGGGAACTCAGCAACACCATCAAGTACAACATTTGCATTATAAGGATCCCAGAAGAAGAGAGAGAAAAGAGGGCAGGAAATTTACTTTAATAGCTGAAAACTTCCCAAATCTGCAGAAGGAAAAAGAAATCCAGCTCTTGGAGGCACAGAGAGCCCCCGACAAAATTAACCCAAGGAAATTCATAACAAAACACATAGTAATTAAAATGGCAAAAAGTAGTGATAAACAGAGTTTTAAAAACAGCAAGAGAAAAGAAAAGAGTTGTATACAAAGGAAGCACCATAAGGCAATCAGTGGATTTTTCAGCAGAAACTTTACAGGCCAGAAGGGAGTGTGACATGATATAAGCAAAGTGCTGAAAGAAAAAACCTGCAATCAAGAATACTCTATGCAGCAAAACTATCATTCCCAATAGAAAGAGATAAAAGGAATCTCCTAGACAAACAAAAGTTAAAGGAATTCATTACCACTAGTTTTACAAGAAATGTTAAAGGGGACTCTGAGTAGAAACAAGAGATCATAAGCAAGAAGAAGAAAAGTAGGAAGCATAAAAGCAGTACAAATATATATATATTTTATATACTTTATATAATTTATATTATATAATAATTTATATATTTTATAAATAATTTTATATTTTTATATATTTATATATTTTATATAATTTACATATATATATAAAACAATCAGTCAAAGGATTCACAAAACAAAACGATATAAAATATGAGACTATATACCTAAAACATGGGAGGGTGAGGAGTTAAAACTTAGTGCTTTTATAATGGATTCAAACTTAAGGAGCCATCCATTTAACACAGACTGCAATATGCATAACATGTTATATACAAACATAATGGTAACCACAAGGAAAAACCAGTAATAGAACAGCAACAAATACAGAGAAAAGAATTCAAATATATCCCTAAGAACAAGAGAAGGGAATAGAGAAGAACTACAAAAAACAACCATAAAACAAGTGACAAAATGACATACCTATCAATAATTATTCTGAATATAAATGAACTAAATGCACCAATCAAAAGACACAGGGTGACACAGTGGATAAAAAAAGCTAGAGACTCATTTCAGACCTAAGACTCATGCAGATTGAAAGTGAAGAAATGAAAAAATATTTATCATGCAAATGGAAATGAAAAAGAAAGCCAGGATAGCAATACTTATATCAGACAAAATAGACTTTAAAACAAAGACTGTAACAAAAGACAAAGACACTACATAGTTACAAAGGGAGCAATCCAAAAAGAAGATATAACAATTGTAAATATTTATGCAACCAACATAAGAGCACCCAAATACAGAAAGCAGTTATTAACAAATACATACAAATATCGATAGCAATGAAATAATAGTAGGGAACTTAAACATCCCCCTTACATCAGTGGATAAATCATCCAAACAGAAAATCAACAA